GGTGCTGTCAAGACCATGTGAGACTCTACTCCGTGCTGAACCATCCGGGTATGGGATTGCCATTCTGGGAAATGCTCCGGGGGTGAAGAAGGGTGGTAGAGCATCACTATCGGGTGGAAAAACGGCTAGGTTGTGTGTGTGGGTATGGAGGTCTGGAGAGGGGGTGAAATTGGCGGCATGGTTGGGCGTGGGAATTTTGCTTGGGGTTGTCGGGAATGGTGGGGAAAATATGGAAAAATATGGAATGAGTGTAAGGAGTGTTGGATAGTGATAGAATGAGTATCGGGAGCGTCAGCGGATATGTACTGCATGTTGGTGACCAAATTCCGCAGAATCCGACTTTTTGCGGTACACGGAGTTGTCCCCACAACACCGTTCGGCTCCGCCAATTGCGGACCCACCTTCGCTGTAACCATATATATATCCCGCTTGTACATAGGTTACACTCCAGTAATAAAATCAACTAGAGTTGCCCCCCTTAGGTTCTGATTGCCAGTCAGTAAGTTAGGGCACGGACGTGTCACTAGGCACAGCGCTCTTGGCAGAAGTCGCTGAGGCCGAAGCCCTCTGCTACGGAGACACTCCCTCGTCTCGAATCCGGTCTCTGACAGTTCCCACCCCAGGCACTTTTATGTACATGTAGCTTGGGTCACATGAGGTTTGCCATGTCACTCTGCATGCAGCCGCAGTCATCTGGGTGTCCCCATGGGGGATCCTGAGGGTGTGTGCTGCATGTGTGTGTGCCAGGTTGCACTGTGAGGCCATCCGGGTCATCCAGGGCTGGGTGCATCGTGCATGCATTGCGGGCAGTGAAGGAGCAGAGCTGGATCACCTTATGTAACCAGTTTCCTATGTCCAATAACGATATTAGAGTTTGTGCTGATTTGCATACTGACCGTGTTTTGGTTGCCAAATATATAATTGTTCACTGTCTAAACAACAATAAACACCCCCCAACGATCTCACCTGATGTATAGATCGTCTATGGATAAAATTATATATTGACTTTACTATGATTTCTAGTCAATATTACACCTAGATTTACCACTTTTCAGTAGGATGTGATTTTCCTGATAATTTACTGAAGGAAAACTACTAATAAAATAATTCCGCAATAAATGTTACTCAATACAGGAGTGACCAAACTGCTCTTTCTATCGCTTAGAGTGCGTGCTAGTTATCTAGCAGGTTCAGGATTGCTCACTTTTCTCCTGTGGTGTGATAACCAAATATTACTGAGAGATTATTCAATTAGGAAGTCCCTCCACCAAATTCTCACTAATTCTCACTATGACACTTTTGTTCAGCTGTGTCTAACTAACCCTAACTCACGCTTAGAGTGACATGTTAGTTTTATATTAGCTAACAACTAATATTTGCTTTTATCTTTTGGAGCAAACAAACCAACCACTGGTGAGAATTAAACTTATTTTTCGACCTGAGGTTTGAGAGGGGGCAGAAGTGGTGGCCTTTTATGCTTTTCAGAGGCCTCTTCATTACTAATGTTCTAGAGCTTTCCCAATTAATTAACTGATCCGCGGACTTCTGAATCACTTTATGCTTATGATCCGAGATCCATATCATCAATCATTCCTTTGTTCCGATTTATTTGAGCTTAAAATCAAAAAGTTTTGATGAATCATGGGAAAATATACAAGATCTGGTTTTTTAGCATTTTCTCCTCTTCTGATGCGATCAAAAACTGTCCGCCCGCACCAGGGAATACTCTGTCATATGGTATTCGGTCCGCCAGACTACCGGGCGCCAATATATTTCCCTTGAGTCACATTACTTTTTATAAGAATTAGCAAATAAATATATATGAATTATAAGGTGTTTCGCCGTTTGAGCGATATCTCCGTCAGTTTTGAAGCTTTTAGAATGAAACAAAGCCGTGGATAAAGTTTAGAAACAGTTTTTTCAGATGGTAAAGAGATTACAGTCAAAAGTTTACTGGTTCCCGAGATATTTACATTTCTTTCCCAATGTTCCTTCTTATTCTGCCATCTATGTGCTATTTTCTTGTTGTAGGGATATATTCTTTGAATATTACACCTATGCCAGGTTCTAGGCATGCTTGTAGTAGATTAAATCTCATGCTACATGGGTGTGGATAATTTATAATGATCCTCTAATGTCTGTCCAGTCTCATAAAGATCATGAGATCTGTTAAACATCTGAACTTGTCACCTGGTTGTTGACTATTCTGATAGATCATTGTTTTATTCTTTGAATACAGTGGGTCGATAATACATAGATAAGGGGAAATGTCGTCCATGTAGATAAAGATAGAAGAAAGGGCAAGAGAGCAAAGAACAGAAGGACAAAGGGAAGAACAAGAAGTGAGAAACAATGGTGAAGGGTGAGGGGTGGAGGTGAGCAGGGTACCAGGTGGAGCCAGGTGGAGCCGGGTCGGGTGGGTGTGCCCTGACACTAGGTTCATAGTTTTACAAACTAGATCGCCCATAAACCGTTCAGGGTTGGGAGAGCTTGGAGTTGGGTCCCTAGAGTAGGACCTAAGCATAGATTCTACATACCCAGCAGGCCCCATTGTGGTGCCTGGATCATTGGGTACAGACACTCTGGGAATCCCAGAGCCAAATTCCCTTTTTATTGGAGTGGTGGGAGGTGTTCCTGTGGTTGCATCTGAAAGGACATGAACCACTGGTGGGGGGGGGGGGGGAGAATTAAGATTCCCTGGCAATAGTGGATGTAGATTTTGGGGCAGCAGCCTGACAGTGTCCCCCTTTACAGCCCATATATTAGTGGGATGAGGATTAGGGTCCACTGTATTTGTGAGGGGTGATAGCCCTTCATTGAATCGACAATATGTATCTAATTGTCACATCACTTCTCATGTGTGGGTACCTTTTCCAAGGTACACAAACTCTGTGTCCACCACATCCAACCGAGTTCCCACTCAGGGCTCGCAAGGCAAATAGGTGTTTTTGCCTCCTCTTTAATTCACCAATTGGATTAACCATGATGGCTGACCCAGTGCCTCCACACCTAGACTTGCATGCTTTAACAATATCCTTGTTTTTGTCATCTGACAAATCTGTGCTGATTGTGATAGGAGGCTCTTGAGAGCCTTTTACAGTCCTAAGGTCATTCAATTTTAGAATGGCCCCTCTGACTGCCTCCTCTAGGATGGTTGTTAGGTCCACTTCGTCCCTGATACTGGGAACAGGCTGTTTACTTTGAAAGGGGCCTTGGGGGTCAGTTCCCCATTTGACCCACTTTGTCATATCCATCCACAGCCATCACCTTCCACCACCTCCAGTCCTCCCAGATTGCCTCCGCTCCTTCACCACCAACCTCGGAGCCTCCAGTTTCCACAATCCCCTCTGGCTCCTCTGATGGTCACCACCCCCTCATTTCAATATATTACCTATGCCTCCCTAAGTACGGAACCCCAAAGGTCTCTGGACAGCTCCGACATCTGCAAGCACACCCCTGCTTCTGCCAGGCAATTCAGTTGCCTTCCCTGCAAGTCTACCTTTGGGCCAATCCCTCCTTTCTGCTTCTGGGTTATAGCCCATCACCCCACTAAACCCCATAACCTGACTTGTTGGTAATATTCAGTCAGCTAACCTGTAACTCCATTAGCTCCGCTCCACCTGGCCCCTGCCATTTATGGGCCTGCCTTCTAGACTCCCCTTGTAACTATATATACATAACTTGTAGATACATTACACCTCAGTGATAAAATCAACTAGAGTTTTCCCTCTTCTAGAGTTCCTTCTCAGTCAGTAAATTAGGGCACAGACATGTTACTAGGCACAGCACTCCTGGTATAAGTCGCTGAGGCCAAAGCCCTCTGTCATGGGGATGTTGTCTTTTGTCCTGAATCTGGTCTCTGACACACATCCATTTCTTAGAAGAAGGAATATGTCCCCACAGAGAAGGGGACATGCTGCTATCACTACTCGACAGAGTATTGAAGATTAATGGCACAGGTCTATCAACCCATCTGTCCACTTTGTTAAGTGGCTCAGGATCCTTATCCTGAGTTTGTTCATCTTGGGAAATTGGCAGGGCCAATTTCGTCCAATTACTAGGCCCTGCAATGGGCCCAGTAGTCTCTTTTGTAGGGCTTACCCTGCCACAGTCCAAGGACCCTGATGCCACCAGGTGCATGTGATCACCACTCAGGTCTGTGGTGTCACCAAAGGTAGTGTCAACCCATGCTAGTTGTTCTGCATGGGTGCCCAGATGATCCAGCGTTATCTGGATGAGGTGGTTATTTACCATAAGCCACTCAGTGACCAGCATAAGCCATTGTACAACCCTGGCAAGGGTTGTTTCAATGTTCATGTTAGACACTGGTCTGGGGTCGGCACTGAAGGTCACCGTTGCAGGCCGCTATAGGCTGCGATGGCTGTGATGCCATGAACAAGGCCCGAGGGCAGGGCATTTGGCCTCAGCGACTCTAAAGGAGCACTGTGCCCCCTAGCTGTCTCTTGGCCCTCATTTCAGACGTACTGGGGTTGCCTTGCTGGGGTCAGGACTTGAGAGGTCGTGGTCAAATCGATATTAGAGCTAAAGTACTATAATGTAGTATACAGGATATATATAGGAGGAAGGAATGAATGGAAGTGGACCCGGGCTGAAGGCCGAAGGGTCCGGAAGCAAACATGAATAAGGAGCGGGGTTGGCTGCACAACAGCCGGCAATGACCGAGGGTCAAAACAAACAATAACAGATAAATAAAGGAAGGAGCGTAGGGCTGCGATAGTGGCAATGGTATCGTAGTGGCGCTGGACTTGGAGTTGGGCCGGAGTCGGGTGTGGGAATGGTAGCGGCCCTGTATGGGCCAAGTGGGTGGGGTAGAGGAGTCATGCTGGGCACGGTGCTGGAGGCGGACTCAGGGTGGGGAGGTTGGTGTGGCAGTGGGGGAGTCGGCCAAGTGTAGGGGAGCCTAAGGGCAAGCAGGGGAGTGAGCAGGGAGGACAGGGCTGAGGTTGGGGCTTGCATAGTGGGACTGGGCTCGGGCGGCATCAGGACAGGTGGGGAATGGGCCAGAATGCACGGCCATGACAGTTCATCCCAGTCCTTTTGAGTGGGGGCAGGGGAATGGCAGTCCCAAGTGCACTAGCTGCAGTGGGGGGGGGGTCAGGTTGGATACCCTCTCCATTGGGAGGCGGTGGTTCTGGAGCAATTGGTGTGCCTAGAGGCACACCTGTGGGAAGATTGATAGTTGAATCGTTATGATCTGCCATTGTACTTTTGTGCATAGCCTCAATGACTATGGGATCAGGCCCTGCAGATGGGCCTGGAGGGTCTCCAGGGTCTGGATGGGGCAAGTTTGATGCACCTGGTTCTGGTGCATCTTTTATGTTTGCATCAGGTGGCTTATCTAGAGGTGGCACTGGTTCTGGTGCCTGCTGACCTGATGCATCTGGGACTGGATCGCCTCCTGTCGACACCTCTTTGGGGTCTTCCCCAGGCGTAAGGGATGGTCCTTCTGCCTGGGTATTGACCTTGCCATGTGCAGAGGGGAGTGGCATGGCTCCAGCCTGATTAGGACTGGAATTAGATGCCAAGGGCATGTCTAATGGCTCAGCCTGATGGGAGCTAAGCTGGCTGTTTCCAGCCATGGGTTTTGGCACAGGAGTATGCATAGACCTATTGACCTTCTGCAGAGTGGAAGGTGTCCCAGCTACCCTTCTAGGTCTCATTTGAAGGTCTGGTGGGTTCGAGATCAGCGCATATTGATGTCAATCAAGAAGCAGTGAAGTTGAAAAGAACTCACCGAGCATGAAAAAACTGTAAGATAGTAATCACAGGTAGTATCTACCTGAAGCATGTAGCTCACTTGTGTGGGTTGCCTTAGTCCCAGTCCATCAAGAGTATATGCTTTAATAAGTTATATATTTCAATGGGGGAGTAGTTAGGCTGCAGAGCCATTTCTACACCCTGTGCCACTTTATATACAAGAATTGATGTAAACCAAAGTCGGCATACACATGCGGCTTTGTAAACAATAGATAAGCATGTGAAAGTGCACTGTTACAATAACTTAAATGAATTGTATATACAAGAATAATCAATTGAACAGGAAATAAAGGAGCATGTGCAGCCTCTCCAGGCCTTACACAGAGTCAGTTTTGGAGTCCCAGGAGCCTGGAGTGGAGGTCAGGATTGTATGGATATGACAAAATGCACCCTTCACTGCCCCTAGTTATACCCACTCCACATGTTAGATACAGGCAAGTTTGGACAATTCTGGAATGGAATTGGAGACTTAGCATGGATCTAGCAAGGGGAAGTCTCTTGGGGGGAAATCAGGTTGGTTTCGGAATGAGGTTACAAGTTACTAGGTACATTGTATATAAAGGAGGGGTCCAGAATCAAAAGGAACAAGGGTAGTCTAAAAGGAGACAAAGGGAGCTGGAAGGAGGATTGGAGTTGGGAATGGCTAGCTGACTGAATAAAAGGAAGCAGCAGCCCAAATAGGAATGAGGGAGAATAGTGGAATTGAATGGGACAATGCAATAGCTGCAAGGTCCGAAGTAAGTCTGGAAAGTCTGAACTCGGAAGTCAAACTCTGGAATATTGGCAAAGGTAAATAAATGGAATCAGCAAAACAATACAATGGGTATAAGCAGAGGTGGGGTCAAAGTCCAAGGTCAGAGCTAAGACCGGAGTTCCAAGATGGAGATGCAAATGGGATTCTGGAGTGGAGGTCCAGAGTCAGGAGCATAGTTGCATACTCATCTGGAAGGTGTTGAGGTTGAGGTCAGACCTGGAAGTGGTGTTGGAGCCAGAGGTGGGATAACCTCTTGGGAGTTGGCAAGGAGAAGGTGATGGAAGGGAAGTGGGGCTCTGGAGTCAGTTTTGGAGTTCTGGGAGCCTGGAGTGGAGGTTGGGATTGTATGGATATGACACCACACATCCATAATAGGTGACTCTCTCATGCCCTCACCAACTGTCAGAAACTGTGTTCGAGGGGATCGCGGGAAGCGGGGCGGAGTACGGCGGCGTAAGTGGTCACTTAGCTAATGAGCTACTCCGTTGCAAGGCGTCGAGGGGGTTGGGACTTCGGCTTCTGCCAGAGCGTTGCGCCACGCGTTCTAGGCTGTCCCGTATTTCACGTTAGCGGGAAAGACCTTGTGGCGACGTTGACTTAAGCGGGATGAAGTTGAGGGGCGAACTTAAGATGAAAGTACTTGGGGGGAATTCTAGTCGATATTCAAACTGAGGTACATCGACAGTAAACTACAAGTATAAATAGGAAAGGAGAACAGAGAAGGGACCGGTCGGTCCGGCGTGGGACAGGAACGAGATGATAAGTACGACAGAACTAAAGAGCGATGAGGACCAGGGTAATGGAACAGAAGAGATGAATGGAACAGAGAACGGCGAAGTTGGGAGGCAGAAAGGATAAGCCGACAATCTAGGCGCGCGGATCAGAATGTCAATATACGTATAAATCAAATATCAATAAAGGAATAATCAATTGTCAATAAGGAATGTCGATAAGGAGCGGATCAACGGCGACCATAACAACCGCTAGTTAGTTAAGCGAGTGAATAGAATAAAACGATACCGGCCGAATGGTTGAGGAACCCAAGTGGTGGCGGGAAAACGAAGGAGGCGCTGCTACGGGGCCGTAGAACAGGAACCACTATCGGCGCCGCTAAGTGATGGGCAATGGCGAGATTAACGGGCGCGAGTAACGGCATAAGAATGGGGGTGCAGAAAGTGGTAGAGGGGCGGGGACTTTGCGGGGCCGTGACACCAACCTGACATGTGGGCAGCATTCTTTCTGGGTTTCCCTTTGGTCTGCTATAGCATATATAATTGATGTACTGTACTTCAGTGCAAAATTGATGACTGACAGTCCCTCCCAGAATTGTTGCCTTCTGTTCTGATGTTAAGGGCCATACACCAGCATATCTGAGTGTAAGCACAGTGCTCCATTCCAAGTTGCTGAGGCCAAGGCCCCTCTGCTCATCCTCTTCCCTCATTCCAGGGTTAGGTCAACACACTGCCCATGTGTTTAACAAATGACAATAATGGCACTAGCACCACCATCAGCCTTTGACTCAGGCGTTGGGGGAGGATGGAGTTCAGGAACATTGATTAGTCCCTTTTGTGATGATGGGGGCACTGTCAGAGACAGTTGGATTTCTGTCGGAGTCAGGGTCAGAGGTATTGGCAGAGGTCTGTTGGAGTGTGCATGTGCAGATGTGCAGGCAGAAATATGCAGCACGTTGTAACAGGTCTATCGCCTAGACTCAAGACAGAGAGAAGGGGGAGGGTGGTAGTGTGCATGGGTGTGATGGAGGTTCAGGTTTTGGTCCTGGGGCACTACCGGGTCTGCTAGAACCTCAACTAAACACTCACCTACGTCTCTCTTGGACGTCAAGGCTGAGAGTTGTGAGCAGAGGGATCTTAGAAGCAAGCAACAAGCTCAGAAGGGGTGTTAGGGTTGTGGATGGCATCTTTGCCACTTGGATGTAACTTCTCTTTTCTCTTTCATGGGTCTATTCAGTACTCACTTGTTATGTACAAGCTATTATCTATTTTATATGAGTTGGAAATGGAATGAATGGAATGGAGGAATGTAAACAGGCTGTTAGGCAACCGTAAATAATGAATATCTAATTGGGAACAAAGAAACAATAAAAGAAATATGAATGAATGGGGAATATATGATAACGGGTCCGAAATGGGAATTGTGAAAGTTAACTCTGCAACACTTCGCCACAGCGCCCGCCTATCCTCCCATCAGCAACCTCCTCGTCTCCAGCTTTCCAACGAGCCCTTATTTGTCCCATTTGGTGCAGTAGTTCTTGAGATGTGGCCATTGACAAGTGCTGTCAAGACCACATGAGACTCTACACCATGCTGAACCATCCGAGTATGGGGTTTCCATTCTGGGAAATGCTCCATGGGTGAAGAAGGATGGTAGAGCATCACTATCGGGTAGAAAAACAGCTGGGTTGTGTGTGTGGTTATGGAGATCTAGAGAGGGGGTGAAATTGGCGGCATGGTTGGGCGTGGGAATTTTGCTTGGGGTTGTCGATAATGATGGGGAAAATATGGAAAGATAAGGAGTGAGTGTATGGAGTGTTGGATAGTGATATAATAAGCATTGGGAGCATCAGCAGATATGTAGTGCATGTTGGTGGGCAAATTCTGCAGAATCCAATTTTTTACCATGCATGGACTTGTCCCTGCAACAACGTCTGGAAGTGCTGTTCAAAGTTAGCAGAGTGGAATTGCAGCCTCAGCAACTCAAGGGGAGTGCTGTGCCTGCACTTGGTGTCTGGGGGAGATCCCTTATTTATGGACTGACACTTGCAGCAAACTTCAAACAAGACTTGCAGGCAGAGTGGGCCCATAGGAGGAGTGTGGACTCAGAGGGGGGGAAGCCCCCTTTGCAGAAGTAGGGACTCAGACCAGATAGGGGGGGTACTCCAGTTGATATCAGACTAAGGTCCCCAAAAGTATTTACAGGATATAAATAAGCAAGAGGAAACATAGAAGGGCCAGTTGGTCTGGCACAGTCTGGCATGGAAATGAGTGGGGATTGTCAAACTGAATATGGAAGTGAGGAATGAATAAGCAACAATGAGTGATGAAGGTTATTGATGGGAAGAACAATAGGGTCAATAACCTAGTGTCAATAAAAGTGGATCAACACTGATATTGGCAAGTTAAGCAAATGGATGAATGAGCATAATAGGCACTCAGCAAGGAATGAATGATAAGTTGCCAAGTGGCAAAAGGCCAGAGGAAAAGTGGAGTTCAGCACATGGCACCAATACAAGTCCGCAAATTGGGAAGTGGGGTTGGTGCGGTGCCAACACAAGTCCAGTTGATCAGTCAGTACTGTCACACAAGGACAGCATGATGGCCAACAAAGGTTCTGAGGGAGTGTTAACCTGACCAGAGGTGTCAAGGACAACTGGAAGTGGGCAGAGGGCATGGAAGCAGGCAGAGGGTGCAGAAGGTGCAGAAGTGGTGTGCGGCTGTGACCACATAGTGGGAAGCAATGAGTGTGGTTCAGATGGAGACAAGGCAGGGGTAGGTGAGGCTGAGTTGTGCCATAAGCCTGGGAGGAACTGGAGGGACTGAATGCTGGGAGCACCAAGGGCTTGGGAACTGGAGGCAAGGTCAGAATGCCAGTGTAAGGGATTAACCTTACTTCACCATAATTCCCATTATAGTGATGTGGTTATTTCTTTATTTATTTGTGCCAAGATATGTAATTTACATATATATACCTCAGGTAGTTGTAAAGGCCCGGTAGCCTTTTACCTCTACCCCATTGAATATACAGCACATTTAAGCTTATATTTAGATGGACTAACTGAGGCCTGAGGCGAACGGGGGAACGGAACGTTACCATCCCCAAAATAGTAAGCAACCTTTCAGCCAGCAAGGTCCAGGATTTGATTGTTTGCCAAGTCTTGCTTGATAGGGCAGGGGGCCAGACATCAGATTGAGGGCTGGTTAGATTGGGTTTTGGGTCGGCAGATTTGCTTATCAGCATTGATTTGCCACTGATGGAGCCCCAGGATTTGTCGGTCATGACAGGGCCATGATGGTGATTGTAACCACATGTCAGGGTCATGCATGCTTGCAACAAAGAAGGCCCCAGAAACCTAGTTGATATCAAAGCTGGGGGACATGCCCATGCCAGCACAAGGTCTTATGTACACAATAGAGGTGGCTATCAGGCAACTAACTAATAACCAGTAGCAACAGATCAAAGAAGATGGAAGATCATGCAGCGTCATAACCAACA